GTGTCTGGACATGCAAAAATGGTTATTCTTCAAAAACTATTAAGCATGGGAGCTTCAGATTTTCTTTGGTTGCTTAGCTCTGGTGAGGGGCAATCCATCACGTCATCCAATGAACCCCCACCCCTCCAAAAAATAAATAAATAAAAGAACCCCCTCCCAAGCCACTACGATTTTGGAATGCACCTAGTAGCATGACATTTATTAGGAATAAAGACTTCTGAGTTCTGGTGAATTTGTGCGTGTGGGGGTCATTATGTTACCTGCGGTGTCTAGTTTTAATCTTGTCATATTGATGTTCCCCCTAAGACCATCAGCTCAGAATGTTAATGCCCATTTGTGGCTGTTAGCAAAATATCTCAACAGAACAAGTAAATCTGCAAACAATTACATCTCAAGACAACATGATCCAATATACAGCCAACTAAACTTTTAAAAGCACAAAATTGTCTCTAAATTAATAAATTTTACAGGTAATGACATAAAACTAAGTGTGGTAGTAGCTGAGAATCATCCCTAGATTTTAAATCGGGATCATCCCATAGATTTTAAAGGAAGCAGAGGCAAACTTAATATTTCTTTCATAGTGCTTTTTGAAATCACTGCTTCTGTAGTTTGGATCTGCATTTTCTTACAAGTTGAGTGATGTGTTTTATGTTTTTGTGTGTGGTTGCTTATCTGATGTCGTTTTAACAGTTTGACTCAGTTAGATCAAACAAATTATTCACTGAATTAAAGGAAATCTCTTTGCAGAAGACAAAGAACCCATGAAGTATTTTTCCAGATTCCGTTTAACAAATGCTTTTCTGACATGCGACGGGGGAATTCAGTCCTGCCGGCTTTCACTTCAAGTGTCAAGGACATCTCATCAGAGACCAGGATGTTCATGTGTCAAATCTTTCCTTACATTGTTAAAAAAAACAAACACATGAAGACTTTAACATGCCTGATGAAAAATGAAGCCAGGCAATGAACAACTAAGTAAAAGGATTTCCTTTTTTTTGTCTTTTTTTTAATATTTGGATTAGTGCTCCATTGTCCACTCTATCAACATGATCCACATTTTGAAAACAGTACTTGGAAGTGTTTTTTCCTCATGCTCGTTCTTTGTTTTCTGTTTACAGCTAACTGGTGTCCCTCTGAATGTGTCCGTCCGCCTGCAGCTCAACCTCTACATGAAGAGTGTGTCAGGATTTACGTAAGAAAGATGGCTTGTGTGCAAATGAATCTTCATTAAAAATGTCATGAATTGTTTTGACACCAGAGGCTTGTAAGGAGTTCCTGTTTTTCTTTCTTTTTTTTACGTTTTTCATTGTGTCATATTGATGCTTGCTGTTCTTAACCTTGTAGAGAAACAGGGAAGATTTCTGAGGTGGTGATGCCCATGCTGTGGTTTGAGGAGGTAAGCAGTTAATGATTTAACTGTTTTAACTCTAATGGTGTCTTGTACTCTTATAAACCTGAATCAGAACAATTTCTGTAGTCATCAGTTTTTGTAATTATTGTTGTATTTTACAGTCAGTGTTTATCTAAGAACCCTCCAGACATGATGTAATGACTGACTTTCGAAACTTAAAATAAAATGAGAAGATTTTAAGCAATTTTGATTTTTGTATAGAAGGTGTGAATTTCTACCTTGAGTTTATACTACAGTTTGAACAGTAATGCCAAGGATGCACAAGATGAATGTACAGTATAGTGCCTTTAAAGAATATTTACCACCTTGCATGTTTTACCCTTTGATTGTTGTTTTAAATCAGTCTGTGTCAATATACTGTGGCCTTTCAGAGGGAAAAAAACTCCCCTCTCTTCAGTGATGAAGTGAAATCAAACTTTAAGCTTCAGCGGGTGAGATGGGAGAGACCGCTCATACAATAGTTCTTTTGCAGACAGCATCAGTTTGTCCTTCAGGGTTTCTGTAGATTCACCAGCATTTATTTTCCCTCCATCTGTACAAAATCTCCAAAGCCGGCTGCTGAGAGGTACTTCACTGTGAAGTCTTCTTTTACTATACTGCTCAACAAACCATAGTTGCAATTTAATGAGTTTTCTTCAACATTAAAGTGTAACTTACCCCCCTGTGAAAGGATAACTCCGCCCCCAACGCAAATTTGAAAAATGCACAAAGTGGAGACTCTGAGGGGAGGGGGGGGGACGGAGGTGTGGCCAGGACGAGAGAACGTGACAGGCAGCTAGCATTAGCATAATTGATGCTACATGGAAAGTGACCACAGTATCGCAGACAGTTACATCTCTGAACGGTCTGAGGTGGAGGATTTTCACCCCACACCAGCACCGGACAGAGGAGGAGGAGCACTCAGCGACAGCCTGACAGAAAAAAATAAAAGCACACAGCTGCA